AGGAGGGGTGGGGGGAGGGTCACAGTGGCAGCGTTCCCCCGTTGCCAGGGCCCAATAGCCAGCAGGGTAGGAGAGGCTGTGAGGAGGGAGAGAGGAGAGCGGAGAGGGGAGGCAGGGGAAGTCCCGCTGCAAGGTGGAGGCAGATGGGGGAGGGAGCCCCCATGCTGGAGGAGGCGGCAGCAGTGGTGGAAGTCTTTACATGGCTGGCCCCAAAGGGTGAGTGGGGGATGAGAGAAGGTCATGTAAACACTCCCTGAAATCTGTCATTCTTGAGGGGCAATTAGCTAGTGATTATATAATTTGATAGCAATAATTTGATTACAAAGAGGCAATATTAGTAGTAGATATGTGAAAGAGATTGATTGCTTGGGGCATATTTTGAGCTTGTCCATCAAATTAATTTATGGCAAAATGGACCAGGCAGAGCTTGGGTGCAGTATTTTTCTTTCACCCAATAATCCTATTTGCCCTTTAAAATTAATCTTAAATGTTCTCACGCTGTCAGCATTTTTAAATGAGGTGCCAGCTCAGAACTAATTGGATTTGCCAGACAAATCACAGCTTAATAGTTTTATGAACAGTTAACAACTGTGAACAGTTATTGAGTTAAAACATGTTAGGATGCAGACACTACTTCCAATAGAAAATTTCTAACTTAAAATAATTTGTAGAAAGACATAATTTGTTCTCCATTTCAAACCCAAAAACTCTTAGCGGTGCTAAGGGATAATACATAAGACACACTGCACAAATGAACATTTTCAGTTATTTTACCATTAGAGTTCACCCATTTTCACTTCTTTTACCCAATTTGCTTTTGCCATGAAAATATATTCTCTATTCTTCATTGATCTAATGGAGACTTGGGACTCAATGTCTGTTGTTCTCATAGGCACTTAAATATCTCACCATCTGTCTTTTCTCTCCTAGTCATAACTGTTGAGATCCGATTGTAAAAATAAGATGCAATGGAAGGGAGCCAACATAATATCACATGATGAAATACCATTTAACTAGCAAGCTAGTAATAATCATTTACATTTCCACACACAGCTTTTAGTTTACTTAAAGCTTTACAACACGTGAAGTACATAAATAGTATTATCCTCAGCAGGGATACTTGGTTTTCTCCGTTTAAAAAAAAAAAAACCTGCAAATTCTCTGATTAAATCTCCCAAAATCCATTTTTCCATGATTAAAATGAAACAACAATATATATAGGTATCAGTTGAACACAATGTTTTATTGATATATTTACCATTTTAAAGTAGTTTGGAAGCCTACCAGTGTCTCAACTGCTATAATAAAACACATTCTAAATACTTATAAATTTTGGCGTTTGATTTTGAGTTTTTTTATCACGGAAAATCAGAGCTCCCCCTGCCCCCTTCACTCATCAGGATGCAGGTCCTGCTGCAGCTGTTCCCCTCCACCACTGCTCTGTGGCACTGAGAAGCCCTGATATGCCAGTGCCCTACCCATGCCATTGCCTCTCACTCCTGACCCCCTGTTCCCCAGCCCTGCTTGTGTCCCTTACTCCCCACCCACAGCCCTCCCGGAGGGGGACCCCAGCTAACAGGACTTTGGAGCCAGGGACTCAGGTCTGCAGCCCCCTGCCCCCCACAGCAGCAACTAAACTCTGGTTGCCACCCATGGGAGGCAGCAGCTGCTACAGCAGAGCAGAGCACAGAGCTCGGCTCCCCCTCCAACATGGACAGCACAGCTGGAGCAGAACTTGTGGGGGTGGGGAGTGGATGCAGGCTACCTGCTTTGGATTCAGGACTCCCTGCCCTGCTGCCCTCCCCCAGGGCCTCTGCAGCCCAGCAGGCAGGACCCAGCATGGCAGGGCAAAGCAGTACTCGGCAAAAAAGCTTGTTACCGCTGCTGGGAGCTCTGCGCCACCATGGCGAGGTGCCCCCTACCTGGCCAGCACCACTGAGTGGCACAACTCCATGCCACCACACTCCCTGCTGCAGGGGCCACTGTGGCATGGCAGTACAGGGCTTGCAGCAGTGGCACCAAGCTTCCCTGCCCCACTCTGTCCTGCCATGCCAGTTCCCACCTGCTGGGCCATGAAGGCCCTGGGGGGAGGGCAACAGGTTAGGGAACCCATGTCTGCAGCAGGCAGCCTGCACCCACTTCCACGCCAAGCACAAATCTGAGCAGCACGTGCCTCCCATTACCACCCTCAGGCTTGCACACATCAGTGAGGAGCCAGCCACCACCCCAGACAAGCCACCTACAGCTCCGTCCTGCTCCCTTCTCAGGCCCAGCAGCCGCATATTCCAGCCCCAGGCCCCAAGCCCCACTCACCATCCCAGCTGGGCAGCAGCCCCAGCTCTGCCCAAGTTCCTCCCTCTCTCACTATGGGGGCTCAATTCCCCCTCCCTCCCAAGACCTGCAGGAGCTGCTTTCCAGGCTGTCTGGTAGCCATACACATGTGTACATGCACATGGCACCCCCTACTTGGTCGCCCTTTTCCCACTCTCCCCAGCCTGCAAGGGGAAACCCACCATTGCCTACATTTTTCTCCTTAAAATGAGAAAATCTGGGTTTTTCTCCTTAAAATGAAAAGATCCAGGTTTTATCACATTTTTGTGGCAAACAGAAAACCCAGATCCCTGATCCTCAGACTACCAAGGAAAACTTGCATACAAAAAGTTTTCCAAGCACATACAGGAAAAGAATAGAAAAGACAGAAACAGAACTCAGATCTTGCATCTCTCTTTTGGTTTATTACTTGAGTCATCTTCCTTGGCTACCTTACTAGATTTTTTTAAGAGGAGGGGCCAGATTCTTTAGTCTCTGCACTGCTGTGATGCCATAAAGGTAATACAAACTGCCATGGCACTGATGTGGGCAAATACAAATCTGGGAGTCACAAGCCAATCTAGCTGTCCTAGGTCACCAGACTGACAACAGCCAGTGCAGTGGGATCAGTGGGCTGGGAGTGGTCTGTCAGAGTTCCCATACACTCAGCTGTCTTAGCAGAGGATACTTCTGGGAGTTACCACCATCTGAAAGCTGCACTTAATGACTTCATCCGGAGTCCCAAACAAATAATCATGTACACAACACATACATGCAAATGTGCCATGCATGTACATTACACCAATCATTTAACCCCCCCCCACAAACCTCCCCCCTTAAAATGGTCAAAGTAAAAAAACTGTAAAGGAATAACTTAAAAAATTCTAACATATATATTTTCTTTTTAAGTAACTTTAAAAAAATATAACCACCCAATCTTGCAACTAAATGGAATCAAGCATTCTCTATTTTTATGAGTTATTTTTTGCTTTTATTTTACATTGTGTCCATATCGCAGAGTTTTTTCTAAATCATGTGCCTATTTCATTTTGGCTTCTAGGAGTCAAAAGCTTCAGAAGAACACATTTTAAATTGTTCAGAATTCTGGTCAAGAGAAACTCCCATCTTTTCTTCTAAATGGGGAAAGCAAAGTAAATGTCAATGCTGTACAGGTCACATAAAGGATACACACAGTTAGGTATGCAATCTTGTAGAATTTTGAACTACCTCAAATTGCAGTTACTTTAATGAAGATTGAATACCATGCATTTCAGAATCAGAATCAATATTAATGAAGGATAGATTCTGATGCTGAATGCTTTTGTCGAAAAATTATACATGGGATTTACTCTCAAGTACCTGCATGTTTCATCCTTGTACAAAAAAGTAAAAAGAAATTAAATAGAAATGACTTCCCATGGGTGCTTTAAAAAACAGAAAAATATCATGTTGGTATTATTGCCTGCACACAGAAATCAAACTAGTAAATACAGTAAAGAAAAACAATACGTGAACTGAGTATAGGAAACAAACGTACACTGATTTCACTGATGGCCAAACAGAAACAACCCAACATTTTAATTCTTTTTCCATTTTAAGATTGTCAGCTTGTATAATTAGCAACCTGTCAATCTGTGCTATCCATTACGTAACCAGAATGTGACCTCAGAATGACCAAAACTCAATTTTGTGTAATTTAAGTATAAATGTTGTTAACAAGCATATTATTTGAATAACACTAAAAGCTTGCTTATTGAGAAGTGATAAAAGGGTAACTTACTAACCTTTTGTTTCATTTTACCTTGTAAATACATGAGGAAAACCTGTTTGTTGCCTACAAAGTTCACCCTTTGCAAACGAGAATACTCTAAGCACCAAAATCTGTATTTAGGTAACTAAAAAGAAAAGACAAAAATTCTGAAGATGCTTAGCAGTCTCATTCACTAATGAATTCAGTAGCAGAGTGGCAATTGACTTCAGCCAAATGTAAAGGTCTAAATATGAAATTTAATGATTTGCTCTAGCCAGCCACGTGACATTTTGGCTTCAAGTTTTATATCTGAGGAAATGTTTATTACCTAGTACCAGCTGCTCATTCAGCATGTCCAGCAAAATGCACTTAAAAACAGATTTCTGGTTCTTGCAATTACCATTTCCAGTATCAGTATCTACTGTTGTTACTATGTTAAAGTCTACTACTACTACTACTACTATTATTATTATATATCAGTAGAATCAGTATCCCCTATAATAAATAAATTAATTGCAAGTGTTTACACTGGACATTTCAAAACTCTAATGACCCAGGTATAAAAACTTGGTATCTCTGTATCAGGCAAAAGTAAATGCCTCAATTGGGAAAAGTGAGCAAAAGCACAGGACAGAGATACACACTATTCAGTTCTAAATCTGAACTTCCCAAAATTGAACAAGTTCAGATTCAGTTTAAGCAGATAAAGAGCTCCTTCATGACTTGGGAGCCCAGATCCCATTTTAAAACATGAAAGTGACTAAGACTTAGACTTCCAATTCCCCTAAATCCCTTTGCAAAATGGAATACAGGCACTTTAGCAAATTCTACCTTAAACTGCAGATTTGAACCCAAGGTCTACATCCAGTTTTTGGTTTAGGACAATATATGTAACAATTATTTTGAAGCTGAATTATTTTGAAGTTGTGTATTCCCCTACCTGTTGGCTTGGTCACTCCAAGGAATCCAGCTTTTCCAAGGATTTTAAATACTTTGTGTGCTGGAAACTGTTCCTCTTCTTCCCATTTGTCCACAAATGGGTTAATCTCTTTGTCAATAATCTGTATTTGGAAAACATGAATAAGTTTTTAAAATCAAAGAGGTACCTATACAAATACCTTTGGCAGAATAATTTTTAAAATTGAGACTATTCTATTGTAAAATTGTGATACCCCACAAATTTGCCTGTTAGATACTTAAAACTCATAGTTTCATAGTGCTTAGGGTTGGAAGGGACCTAAACAGAACATCAGGTCCGAACCCCTGCCCTGAGCAGGACCAAGTACCAGGATCATAACACCCCAGCCAAACATCTGTCCAGCCTCCTTCTGAAGACCCCCAAGATAGAAGAGAGCACCACCTCCCTTGGGAGTCCATTCCAGAGCCTAGAATCCCTAACTGTGAAGTAGTGTCTCCTGATGTCCAACCTGAACCTTCTAACAAATTGTGGCCATTATTCCAAGTAACCCCCAGTGGTGCCCGGGGGAACAGAGCCTCCCGCAATTCCCGCTGGTCCCCACTGGTGAGTTTGTAAATGGCCACCAGATCCCCTCTCAGCCTTCTCTTGTGGAGGCCGAATATATTCAGGCCCTTTAGCCTCTCTTCGTAGGGCCTGCCTCTTGACCATGCAGGTGGCCTTCTTCTGGGCCCTCTCAATGCTAGCCACATCCCTCTTGAAGTGCGGCACCCAGAACTGGATGTAGTACTCCAACTGTGACCTGACCAACGCCACACAGAGGGGGAGAATCACCTCCCTGGACCTGCTTCTGGTGCATCTGTAGATGCATGACAAGATGCAGTTAGCTTTACTAACCGCTTCCTCACATTGGTGGCTCATGTTCATCCTGGAGTTAACAGTGACTCCAAGATCCTTTTCTGCCACTGTGGCAGATGTGCTCCTTGATAATGTTCTCAAAAGTCTTCCCAAGGACCAGGGTGAGACTAACTGGCCTATAGTTACCCGGATCCTCCTTTCTCCCCTTCTTGTAAATAGGAATCACACTGGCCCTTTTCCAATCCTCTCGTACCTGGCCAGAGCCCCACGAGCGCTCATAAAGCCGTGCCAGGGGCCCCGCTATGACCCCCGCCAATTCCCTCAGCACCCTCAGGTGGAGAGCATCTGGACCTACTGATTTAAATACGTCCAGCCCCTCCAAAAGTTCCCTAACTAGGTCACCCCTGACCCTAACCTTGGTGCTGCCTCCCCTGGGTCCGTCTGTAATCCTAGCAGGGGAAATGGCCCCTGTTGGCCAGTCCCTGTTCAGGAATATGGAGGAAAAGAATTCATTAAACAGGTCAGCTTTTTCGTTTGCCGCAATCACCAGACTGCCAAGACTGTCCTGTAGTGGCCCCATGTTACCCGGTGCCTTCTTCTTACTCCCTATTTATTTGAAAAAGGACTTTTAAAATTTAAATCTTAATCTCTAAATCCATCATACTGGCAAAAAATGGTATGATGCAGTGTTGTTGTTTTAGAAAGAATAAATGTTTTGATTTTACAAGATTATGATTTAGGTAGTTTTGTTGCTTCCAGGGACTTAAAGAATTGGAACCACCCCTATTTTCCAACATGTTTATAATAAGTGGTGGTACAATGGAAACTTGGGATGTCCTCAAATGATTAATTTGTGGGATGCACATAATTTTGGCCACCTGTACAAAACAATTACTTTTAGTACACATAATAACCAGTGACAAAGGCCAAAAGTGAGAGTGTGGTTAACGGATTATAAAAGGCACCACCTCCCTTTACAACATCTACCTGTTGGTCCTCTAGCCCCCACAGTATGCTCTTTAATCTTCCCAAGAGGCTGACAAAATACAATTTGGAAATACTGGTCTTCTTCCCAACTTGTAGAGTTTTTGGATCTCTTCCCTGGACAGCTTCTTGGTGAGTTGTTAAGAAGCCTCAGTGAGGTGATAGCCCAATCTTTCATCCCAGCTGTTGCTAGTTAATCCTACTTAATCACAGCTGGGGAAGTAACTGGTCTGTCCCTTAACACTTTGGGGGCTACTGAATCAGGGATTATGAGCAACATCACACCAAGCTACACCTTAAGAGAACCACAGAAAGGGGTCAAAATGAAAGAATTAACTAACCAATTGAAAGGAACTCCTAGGGGCAAAAAAACAAACAACCATCACTCCCAAAGAGCCTGGACCCAGATTTATGGGCCTTCTTAATCTACAATGCTCTGGGTTTCAGGGCACCTATACATGAGCAGTGAGGCTGCTCTGATGCGCTGTAATTAGCGTGGAGAATTCTTGATTAATCAAGTCTGCTGGGGTGTGGTAATTACTGTGCTCCAGAAGACTCCACCATTTTGCATATCAGCTTAAAAATGGCAGTGGGGGCGCTTTAACGAAAGCTCATTCAACAAGCTTTAGTTAAAGTGCCTCCACTGCCATTTTTAAGTGTGGGGACACTCATACACGAGACACTCTGGGAGCTTTAATCAGAGCAGCTCATGAAGCCATCTAAATTAAAGCACACAGCCACACCCCCTAGAGCACATGTACAAACAGGGTTTAGGGACATCTCACATGGGGAACGACCATGAGAATATCATTCCCTGATGAAATCCCACTGTGGGATGCTCACCACCTGCACCATCTCATATGCTGGTTTAGTGGTATTAGTATCATCTAGCTCTGTAAACTAAAAGGATATAAAATTTGGGTTAAAAAGAGATACAGAAATATTGGCCACCTCTTGGTTCATTCTCAAGCTTGTGTTCCATGAAATTACATGGAGAGGCCTCACTGCTGTTCTAAATGGGGATTCTTCCAGCACAAAAAAACCTTGGCAGCATATAGCCAATGTATATAACACCAATTCACAACTCTCCCTACACTTCAGGAATACGATTTGTGGCAAGAATTTCAGCCATTTTGGCAATCCCTGCCCCATGTAATGGACTCTCTGGATCTGTTGCTCTCTAGAACAAATGTAAACCTGTCTTAAAGACACCCCAAATTTGGAAGAGACCCACACACAATAACGATGAAGCATAAGCTACCCTTGCTCCAGCTGTTCGTTTTCAACTCATGTAAAGAGTGAACCCATTGAATACAGGGCCAATAGATACCAAAATGAAAATGCACAAATACAAGTTTTGCAGTAAAAAAGTTTAGAATGTTTTCTTAATTAAAAAAAAAAAAAAAATCTTTAGTCTCTGGATGAGATTTTACTCAAGATAATGCTCTGATTTGCTATTCCCAGGGTTTAGCTCTCTTTGCTGTGGCATTTCTTCACAGCAAATAAACAAATCCTGCAGTGCTAACTACTTGCTAATCTCGAAATAAATTTGGTGCCTTCCTAAACTGCTAGGCTGAAGAGGAAGAGACCCTGTGGAGTTTAATTTCCAAGTATCTAGTTACTGTACTTTCTTAGGAACATTTCAGTCAGCCTGCTTGCTGCTTCCTTGCTGGCCAAGTAACACTTGGATGGCTCACATTATGCAGCACAAATTATTATTTTACATTTTATCTCTAATACCATATTCTGAGAAGTAATTATACCAGATGTTTAATGTGTTCAATTATTTATAATATTTCTCTTATACAGAACACTGTGACCACATGGTGAGCCACAACAAAGGGAAACTCTACTTCCTGCCTCCCTCTCCCCATGTTGTATATAAAACAGAATTCCACCAGGTTTACAAATTTTCAGTGTCTAGACACTCAAAATACCCAAGATATATTATCTTTGATGCTGAGTTTACCTATAGTGAAGTATGTTTTTATTTAATAGTTTCTTTGTTTGTGAAACTTCATCCAATGGTATGCAGGAAAATGACAGGAAATGACCATTAAGTGCAAACAGAAATCTACTCTAATATTTTCATGGAACTAAGCAAAAGTAAGAAGTGAATGGATTTAGATGGCTTGTGTGTTCTATAGCTATTGTGCTGAGCCCAGTACTGCAGCCATCTGTTTGTAAAGCTCCCTTTGAAGTTGATGGACTCAAACAGAGTGAATATAATGTTAGATTTGCTTAAGATGTAAACAACATAACCATAAAATTCAAAAGTGATATATTACAGGAGCATTCTACTAATATCTTGGATAAGTAAGTCTCATATTCCAGATGACAGTAGCTTCTTTTAACTATCATTGGCCAGTCACTGTGCTATTCCAAATTTTGGCTTGTCATAATCTATATCATTGTTGTCAGACTGCTCTTCAAAGCAGAAAGTGCATCTTATTCTACATTTTGTGAAGAGCAAAGCACATGTGAGATACCTAAGGTTATTTTTAAGAATAATACAAGATAAATATTCTAAATAACCCAAAACAAGAGACAACTGGAATATATGAATGCATTTTCAAAGGACTAAAGTCCAATAAATTTATTTGATAGAATATGGAACAAATTATACACTTTTATTTTTGCGAGGACAAAAATACCTTTTCCTTACAAGTCAAAAAATGAACTGGTTTAAGTACCTGATTTGCACCACCAACTAAATATTTTGGTACAAGGACACAAATTTATGCCTCACAGTTGAACAATTTTCAGTTTCTAGTTTCCAGTTTGCACTAAAATTGAATGGTAAACACTAAAAGTTTTCAAATAACACAGGAACAAATTGCACATGAAGATGACTATTGTATAAGCTAAGCCAGGGGTCTGGCAACCTGTGGGCAGCAGTGAACCTAGTTAATGGAGCTCGGCCTAAGGCAGGCTGCTGCCTGCAACCTATCCACTGTTGATTTACACCACTGTAATGTGTCACCAATTTCCCCTACAGCTGAATGTCACCGTGTCATTGGTAGGTGCTGTAAGGCTTCGGCCCTTTTCTGGTCGGTGCCTTCCTCCCTAGCAACGTCAGGGTGAGACCGTACTTTGGGGCCACACAGATGTTTCCGAGCACTGCCCCTACTTGCCTGCCATGACTTCAATGTTGATAGATGGGGAGGCAGTGCCCTGTTAGTGGTCCCAGAGGGGTCGTGACTCAGGTCTTTCTTCGTGGGACTCCAAACCTCCCCTTTACCCCACCCTTACCATGTCCACGGCCTGGGATGTTTCAGCTCCCATAATCTTCCCCAAGATGAT